GACTCCCTGAAGACGAATGAAGATACAAAATACTCGGGCAGAATATATATTCAGCGCAGAGAAGGTGTCTGGGCTATTGGCATGACCCGAAAGGCCAGTCCACCCAACGAGGTACAAGGGGGCGCATTCAAAGTACAAAAGTGCCGCCTCACCAGTACCGAGGGATAAACCACTATCGTATCACTTAACCTCTCCCCTCTTTTGAGCGTCGTCCCCGGCGCTCCCGCAGGTCAACCTCCCACGTCAGCCATTACAACGTAGTCGGTGCTGCAAAGAAACACCCGCGATCCGACCCTGCCAGTCACCAAATTAGCGTGCAACTGAGGAGATACTTGACCTCAACGCCACTGATCCCTCTTGGCAGCCTAACTGGATCTGGAGTTTCGTCCGGATTATGAACTTGATTCGGGACGGGGAATTGCGCTGGCCATCATGCGTGTCCATAGATGGATGTAGGAACACTGGCCTAAAAGTAGATCTGTGTAGGGAGGGAGGGGATTTAAAACAGGTCCATGGGGCACGGTAGGGAAAGTCCGTCACAAAACTTCCAGATGGTTCACGGCTAGTGTCGCTTCAGTTGTTAATAGCTTTTCTGCAGAACACGGGACAGGGAGAGATGCCGAAGGTAGACGTCAACTTCAACCCTTCTATTAGGGGTCATCACCATTCTCCCATCCGAAGCATATGTTCTTCTTCCGCTCCACTAAGGCTTATCACGTAGAAGTGGAAAATCAGGATACATGTCCTTTAAGATCGGGTTCGCTTTCCGCTGCCACCAATGTAGCGTCCCGGGACTCCCTGAAGACGAAAGAAGACACAATATTCGGGTAGAATATATATATTCGGCACGGAGAAGATGTCTGGGCTATTGGCATAGCCCAAAAGGTCAGCCCACTTAGTGAGGTACAAGGGGCTCATTCAAAGTACAAAAGTGGCGCCTCACCAATACCGAGGGATAAACTACCATCGTATTACAGTATATCGGAGGAAATTTGGAACGTTAAACGCTCGAGTCTAGTCCCATACATAAGCCTAAGGTTTATTCTTCTGCTGGAAAAAATATTTTTGCTTGGATTTACAAATACACTCAAATTTGCCACCAGTGATCTAGTCCTAGCAGTTTGTCCATAATGAACTTATGCGCAGATGCATCGAGTCAGCTGTATTAGGGATTAAACAAAATTATACAGTCAAGAAAATGTATTTATTAAGAGTCAGGCTTTTGTCCCTAAAATTACCACATAGGATTCTTAAATTAAATGTAATTTTTAGGTGATGTGCCTTTAGATTCTAACAACCTACTTGCAGAACGTAGTCACCTATTTCTAGGCATAGGGCAAACACTGACTGCCCCCATAAAAATTTTATACTTAGCAAAACTTACCACAATCTGCACAGTATAAACTGTCTTGCTTCAGCAATCCTCTTAATACTAGAATAAAACAATATAAATAGATGAGAAGAACCATTAAAATTCCCTAGAGTACCTATTATCGGGATATTTGTTGGTCGCTGAAACTTGATGTTTGACGTGGAATTCCACGATTTACTAACTTTACAAATAAGCAAAACAAACATATCCCCCTTAGCTTTGTTTAAATGATTTGACCCACATTGGGGAATCTAAACAAATTTTGCACTCTACTATGTATATAACTTTTTTGGTTTGTTAATTATCTTTATCAACAAAGGATAGGCAGCGCAAAAAATAGCCACTCTACTTTTTAGATGTTACTAACAAAACAAATATTACCATAGAACGATTAACCGTTTGAGATTTCACTGACTTGAATTGAACTATACAAATCTTGTAGTCGTTAGTGGAGTTATAAGGCCTTGCCAAAAATTGTAACTTTTCCTCAGATTGTAGTACCGTAGATGGAGAGGTTTGACTTCATAAAAGTTGGCATCTACCTATCCATGGAGATGGCATAGCTTGACCACTTGTCACTTAGAAAGCAACTTCGAATCAAGATGTAGCGCGTAATGCAAGCTTCGATTGTAGAAAAACATACAAGTCAGGGTTTTTATCTCAGCCCTCTTTTTACGCTGCAACGTTTATTAAATACACCGTCAAATACCTCAGGTGTAAATATTTAATATTGCTGAATTGGAAATCTTTGGTAATGGGAAACTTGATATTACAATGGAACAGTGCAACAGTTTAAATCTTAAAAAAATTAAACATTTCTTAATGTAGGTCAAGCGTTACAAGGCCTGTGCAAGGGTAACAGGTTCCCTATATAAATGAGGTTGATTTTCACAGTCGTATGTTCCATTTGCCACAATGCAATCCGCGTTGAGTAAGTAGCAAACTAGTACAGATTTGTAAATTTTATAATGTGTTTTGTGATATAAGAGCCTTATTAAATCAAACACTTTTTAGATCTCCTCGGGGAGGTCTTTAGCCTTATCGTCCTGATATCTGGTGCAATGTGCTGGTACCTTACAAATGTTGAGAGAGCACAAATTCTCGAGGCTCATCTGCAAGTACGAGAAAATGTAAAACCTACTGCTTCAAATATGCAAATAATGGTATGTTCATACTTGACATATTCGTACGATGGCATTGGGTATTTAAGTGTAACTTTCAGTAGAAACAAATGGGTTTATTTGTTAGCACTCCAACCAAGTTCATTACTCATGTCATTTGCGGTGTTTCAAATTTTTTAAATTTACCCAGCGGTATTCACGAAAACTGGAGGAATTAGCGGCTTATTGGGCAGGTTGGTGCCAATTTAAACATCCAGATCCCAATTATTATCATTCTTACCGCGGAATTGGACAAAACATTGCGCTTTATTTTGGTCGCAAGCCACCTCTAACTGAAAGCGTTTGCGGTTGGGCAAGTGAAGTAAAACATTACACATATTCGACTAACAAGTGTTCTCGCGTTTGTGGTCACTATACTCAGGTGAGTAAATAAGTGTATCTAAGCACATTTAATGCCATTTTAAAGTTTTCTTCCTTCTAATCATAATTATTTACATGATGGTTCAGGCATATATTAGCAAACCGCTAGATAAGCATGCAAAAGTTGAAGTCACACACAGAGCTTTATTAATGCTACTTTATAAATGAACAGATAGTCTGGGCAAACACAAATGAATTGGGCTGTGCCATGCGAGAATGTTACGACGTTTTTCCTGGTTATCAGAATCCACAGTATCTGATTGTCTGTCAGTACAAACCCATGTAAGTCAGACTTACTCAGACTGATCAATAAACAAAACTTTAATGTATTTTGGAAACCCTTTCCCACTTTTTATAGAGGCAATTATGCTAGACAACGGCCATATATCTCTGGAGGGATTTGCAAAGGATGTAATAGTACACAGTCCTGCCTTCGCAATCAATGCGCAAAACGTAATAATAGCCGAGTATATCCGCTGGAAGCGCTTAAAAATCCCAAATACAAAACTCTGCCAAAATGTTTGAATATTACTTACTAAACGGGGTTTATCTTGCCAAACACCACGTTGCCTGCTATAAGGCTCATTTTCCTTTTCTTGTGCTTTATAACACTTTGGAAATGGTAATACCTTTAATAAAGCCCATGTCATGTTTTAACTTTTGTTTTGTGTCAAATCAACTTTTACTGCAATAACTATTTTCTGTTAGAAAACAATTTTCTGTAGATCCATAAAAAGCGTAAAAAAAGTAGCGGTTGTGATGAGCTTTTATGCTTTATACTCTGAGGCTTCGCTAGCAGGCCTAAGGGGTTATCACTATTGTGCATTGGTGGTAACAAAGGTAGCGGTATGTGTAAGTGTCCAAGAGGACTGTATGACGTAAATGAGTTTAGACTGCGAAATTGCTAGCAAAGCTACATTCCTGATGATTTCTTGTGAGTCTGGGAACAGTGTCAAATTATAATTTTAATGCTTAACGGTGATTGGACTTGGCATAAGTGTTGCTTTGCGAGGAAAATCTCCTTAGAATTAAAGCATAGGATTTGGGTTCTAAAATGAAGCCCATTGCCTTGTTGGAAAGCGATCATGATTTGAACGATGATTCTGTTTTCTCAAAACTGTTATAACAACACATTTGTTGACATCATTGATAGTGGACTCAAACCGCGGGTGAATGCAAAAACAATGATTAGGTAAAAATGGGGGAACGAAGCCGTTTTTAAATAAACACTACACTGTACAGTTGACGAATATGCTCGACGTATCCCAACTATGGTACTTTAATAAGCATATAAATTTCTTTTATAGTTTTTTAGTTGTAAAATTAAATTTGCTTTTCTTGCGGTTCCTGTATAAATTAAAATTACGGCAAATCGAAGGGACGCTAATCCCCGTGTGATGTTTATTGCTGCTTCCTCCCAGGTTTTGCTGCCACTGAACCAAGCAGTCTCACTTGCAATGGTGCATTTATTGCGTATCAAAAAAAGAAAAATGGGAACAAATTGGCCATAATCTACAAATCTTCAAGGATTACTTACAAGCTGCTTAAATGCATGCCTTAACTAGTATGGCAGCCCTTGAAACAAAAAGTTGTATTTTATGAAAACCTATTTCCATTAACAAATTAACTTTATTGTGAGTGAGCTTACAAGAAATGTTCTCCTACTTATAAAGGCTTTAAGTGAATGAATTCTTCCTACTGTTGGCAAGTGTTGTTGTCATAATGTAGAATTCTGCATTTTATTATCACGAAATGATGCACAAACTCGGCTTAGGCAATTATGCAAATTAAGCTGACGCAAAAATGGCTTTCTTCAAAGGGTTATTTTCAGGGTTTTGCAAAAATACAAAGAGACACCTTCAGTAAAGCTGCCTTAAAAGTATGGGAACTGAAATTGGTATTACTTTTGGTGTTGTTTCTTTACTCATTAAACATGAGTAGAAAATTCAAAATAAGTAGGGATTGTTAATGCTGAAACACCGAGGCAGATAAATAGAAATAAGCATGGACTAAAGAATAAGATTTAGGTGATTGACATTCAAATGTTAGTTCCTCCTTTGAGTGAAGAAAAATTTGGTTTAATTGAGAACCAACGATCACTTTGTTCTGATACAATTACTACTAATGCCCTTGCCTTTTTAGTAGGGTGTATTTTCAGGTTATGAATAATCTCACCATTTAATCTGTGTCCAAGAAACCCAGCAATCTCAGACATCTCCTGCAGCAGTGGCATAAATGGGGATTTAAGAAAAGGAATGGGTTTAGTTATCTCTAATTAACCAGTTTGGTTAAACATCCAGCAAAGATGCTGCAACCATAGGTGTTAGAAACGGGGATTGGCTAAGTTATCCTACCTGCAATTCTCCATCAACCCATTCACCTGCATATTTTTCAAAATATTTGGCCAGTTCCATGCTCCTCCACCTATCTCTCAAAAGAAGTTTTAAAATCTATGCGCCTCTTTAATAACTTGTCTATATTTTGCATTACATGAGTTATATTTTTTCATTACAAAACAAATACTCACTTCAACTATAAACAGGTTCATAAATATTGCAAAGTAAGGGAAACGGAAAACGGGGAGAAGAAATTATAACTGTAAATAGGGGAACAACCACTATTACTTCGTACTACAAACGAATACATTGTCATGGGTGCATTAAACCAGCATGCATTTGGGCCAAAACTTAAGATGCCTCAACCAAAGTTGGCCTAGGCCAGAGGGAAATATGAATGCCTGTTACGTTGATTCATGTAATCACCTCATCTCTTTTTTGTTCCTGCGTTCAGATAAGCTAATTGTAGATAAATATCATGTAAATTATTTTCGTGCTTCCATTGAAGGCTTTACTTTCTAGAATCCTTTTAAAGTTGTGTTTATATAATCTTTTAACTGTTAATAAGATATCTCTGATAGTATTTTCCCCATTGAGGCAAACAAAGGTGCGCTTATGGTAAAGAGAACTCGAAGCGACGCGCCATTCAGCCAATGTGGATTATTAGGCAATTTTTCTACCAGACTTCATTTATCTACAAACGCTCAGAATAAGTGAGTGCAGCGAGTCGAAAATCGACAGCTTTGGACAGAATGGTGGCGTTAATAGAGGGCTTATTGTAGGCTGTTCAACTTTCTACATAAATATGTTACCATCTGAAAATATATGATGCTCACGGACATGCTCGATGTAAAGATTAAAATTAAAATTCAATTACGTACTGATACCACAAAGCACTCCTTGTGTGAAGTTCGTTGACGATGGTTACACTTTTGGTGGATTAACGTTATGCACTTATACCTTTTCATTCGTTTTTTCTCCAATTTACATCCTCCTCATTTTCACTATATTTTTATTTCTGTTCCTCGAATGCGACTTTAAGGTCCAGTAAAGTGCCACATTGATTTCAGTTTGCAAGCGCTTTGCAGAAGCACAGATATTGAGAATGAGGAACATTGCATTTTTGCATCCATTAGCTCGCTCACTTACACTTAGTTAAAAATGGTAAGCACAGAATTTTTCGGAAATGAACGTGCTGATACTGTAAAACGAAGTGAGAGAGGGGACTTGATTAACAAATCCTGTATAATAAACGTAAACTCTCACTGATTCTACTCAAAGCATGTGAAAATTGAAGAGAATGCGAAGCGATGAAGCTGAACCAGTATGCATAACTGTGATGAATGGGGGACGAAACTCAGTTTAAATCCGTGAGATGCACAAAATCCACCCCTCCATAGTAAATTTTATTTGCTTCAAGTCACAGTAGTTGAGTGATTCAAATGCTTACGTGATGCAACAGGTTAAACAAATGGGGGCAGCTTAAGCTAACGAACAAGCGATAAATTGAGTAACCTTTTGATTAACTTTGGGAAATTCGCATCAACCGATTGGGACAATAGTGAACAAAACGAATACCATATGTTTGCCTTCTTACTCTTTCAGGGCTGGCTAGACGGCTGACCGGTTAGATTCCTAGACGGGTGGATGAGTGTGTGAGCGATTAGGTGGCCAACATTACTACCCACGCAGTCATCCGAATTCATACCCATATACACGCTTAGACGGGTATTCTCGGTGAGTAGACATTGTGAAGTAAATCGTTGAAGAATTTTCCTGTATACAGCCCTTTATTATTCATCAGCACCACTTCGCATGATAATTTGTTCTTTAAAATAGAAATTTTAGTCTCACTGCAGCTCATCTGCTCAGTTGTTTTGAGCATTCTAGATAATTAGTTTTTTTTTGCATAAACTAAGCTTTTTGGACTGTAACCTACCTGTAGTGTCAAGCGGTTAGCCTCGTTGCTTCATTTAGAATTAGTAAAATATAACCGTTTAAGAACATTTAGCGAAGGGTTAAATTTTACATGACCCAACAACTAGTTTGACTAGTTAGCAGTAAGATGGTTTGACCTGCGCACAGTTCTGCGTTACCATTAAAAATTAAGTCTTTTTATTCAGAATTTTCTTCAAGAATCATTTGCAAGTTTCAACAAAGCGGAATCGCATCCACTTATAGACGTTCCATGAGAATTTGGGCCCTCTTCCATGCGTCTCCTTGCAACTTTTCTTTGCTAGTACGGATTTTTAAAAGCATTATACGCAAAAAGAGTAAAATAACAATAAACAATAACAATAACAATAACAATAAAAAAATAACAATGCCTACCGCTCATACAATATGTGCTGTCTATACAATTTTGTAAATGATCTAAAATTAGAGGTGGATGGAAGAAACAAAGAAGGGTTGACTTGAGCGAAGTGTAGGTTTTGTCGAAAGCAAAAATTGCTGATTGCCATCAGCATTTAACAGACGATGTTTAGTTCCACCCCTTAACAACTAAAAAAGACAAAGGCAAAGAAACCCGTTTGCGCAATGGATTAAGTTGATACAATTCATGTTACCAGATTTGCTAAAGTTGTGTAAGCATTTCTGACCTCTTTAAGTTTGCTACAGCAAAAGTGATATACATGCTATTACGTGTCAAATGAAGAAAGTGTTTGCCTAATCATGCATAAAAGACTCATTTTCACTCGCGAGAAAGTCAATTGGTACACAAAATAGACAAAGTGTTTAACTTAATAAAACATTATATAGACTTAACATGCTTGCTATGAATAATTACAGAGAGCAGCTCAAATCAAATTTGCCGGCGTCAATACACATCATTTACACTGCAACAATGTTTTCTATCAAAAGACTCATCACATATCACATAATAAAAATGCTTAGGATGATTTAAAAAGGATCTGCACTGGTATATGCTAGGATTTATGAACAAGGAAACGAATCGGATACTATTAGGCACTGGTGGGAAAGGACTGATAAATGAACAAGTAAATGGAGCATGTAAACGAATGATTGATGGTATTTACAAGTTAGCACTGCATAATCCTTTATTTTAAAGTCCCATCCTGCCAAGGTTCTTTGGTAATTAAGGTCAGTTTCAACAAAAGCAAGCATACCAATTTAGTGCCTGATAAAGTGGATTACACAATATTGACCAAAGGAAAATTCGAAAGCCCAAATGTCTCAAAATA